GCAGCCTCTACAACAAGGGACGAGAGGACGGATGGAAGGGGGAGGGAGGATAACGGAGCACGGGATTAGCAGGAGGGGGGTTAGGAGCAGAAAGGACGTAGCAGAACCAGACGGGTTGATCGGGCGGGTAGACCTGAACGGTCGGGTCGTGAAGGCGGGTCCAAGCGGCCAGGTCGAGCAGGCGAGTTGTTTAAGCGTGGGTACAGCGTAAGTCGCGAGGATGTTTCGAGCGACAGGGCGATTCCCAAATATATGTTCAGAAAAGCCAGAGCGAGAACGAGATTCCTGAGCGTCGAAGGTGCGGCGTTTGAATAAGTTTTGAGGAGGTCCCACGCGAGAGCGCGATTCCTGCATACATGACGCAGGGGCGCGATTTTGGAATACATTGTGAGGAAATATCAGGCGGGATCCGCTGTTGTTGTAGTTCGGGGGCCAAACGCACATATTGGTGACCCCACGCCTTCCCTTGTAGAAACAGGGTGCGAGCCCCGAGAGGAGCATTTTGATCGACAAGCACACAAAGGTCACCGGGCAGGGTGGTCAACAGTGTCTTTCCTTTAGACATGATGGTCAACAACAAGCGCAAGCAACACAGACAAACAAACCACAACACACAAAAGTAACACATAACAGCAAACAACAACCAACAACCATCAACCAACAACCAACAACAGCAACATCAGCAACAACAACAATCAGTTTAAGACTGTTCGTTCTTAGCTGCTCGCGTGCCATTCAACGCGTATGGCGCAAATCCTCGGTACCCGTCATCTTCGTCTTCGATCATACCTTTCTTACCTGCGTCGGGTAATTCGTGCAGCCCCTTAGGCAGGGGAAGATAGGACAGATGGAAGGAATGAGCAAAGGGGAGGGAGGAGGATGGAGCACGAGAGAGAGAGAGAGAGCAGCAGGTGGGGGGCTAGGAGCAAAATGCAGGCGGCAGAACCAGACGGGCAGATCGGGCAGGTAGGCCCTAATGGGCCCAGGCGGCCGGGTCGAACAGGTGGGTTGTCCAAGCGTGCGTCCTGGATGAATCGCGTGGAAGTCTCGAGCGATAGCGCGATCCCGAAATATTTCGTGCGGGAATCCACAGCGAGAGCGTGATTCCTGAGTGTCGAGGGCGCGGCGTCTGAACAATGTGTGAGGAAGTCCCACGCGAGAGCGCGATTCTGGTATGCATTGTGAGGAGGTGCCGCCCGAGAGCGCGATTTGTTGAATACATTGTAAGGGAGTCTCAGGCGGAAGTTGTTGTTGTTGTTGCTGTTGTTGTTGTTGAACATTATTAATTCTAAAGAATAATTATTGTTGGGCCCCCTGGTGCACGCCCCCCCCCCCGCGCCTAGGCCGCAGCTACATTTTCATCATTTTCGTGAGGAAGCCTCAGGTAAAACGATGTGATCCAGATCCGGTTGTTTTGTTGTAATCCGTTTTCCCTTGCAAAAAACACTATAAAATGACATTTCTTGTTCTAATATAATCAAATTTCAAGAATCCCTTGCAAAAAATAAGGTAAAGTGGACATTCGCGCGCGCAAGACGAAATCCTTCCAAAAGCTTAGTGTTCGGAACGATTTTAACATAAAAACATCAAAAAACCAATGGTTTTTCAACAAAAAAATGTCAAAATCTCATCCCGCGCGCTCTTGCGGATTCGTAGGAAACCCAACACTTTTTAAACATTTCTGTCAAACGGGCTTTTGCGAGCAACTTTTTCGAACTTCTGCGACAACGGTTGCGCACCTGCCAGGGCCATCATCCCTGTCAAATAATACCATGCGGGACACATTCGTTTTTTCTTCGCGCGCGCACGCCGTCGTCGTCGGCCGCGGGGCCCTGAATAGTAGCCACGGTCGTCCGCATGCCACGAAGTGAAGTGTCCGAACGTCATAGGGCGGGAAGCTGGGTGTGGGTGGTGGCGAAGAGTCGTTTGGAAATTTGGTAGAGCTTGAACCGGCCCCCCCACAAAGTGGGGGTATTGCCCGCCTCCTATGAAAACCCTGGCACTGGTGAGAACGGAGTGTCCCCAGTCTTAAATGATTGTTGTTGTTGTTGTTGTTGTTGTAACTGGGGGGCCACGGGCCCAGGTTGGTGACACCTCACTTTCCTTTTTTAATAACAAGGTGTGAGCCCTGGGAGGACCACTTCGATGAACAAATATAATGTTTACCGCGCACAGGGGATCAACTCTAATCATTTAGACACGAGAGTTCAAGAACAGCAACATCAGCAACAGCAGCAACAACAGCAACAGCAGCAACAGCAGCAACAACAGCAACGCAACAACAATCCGCACCGCGGTACCCTCCTTCAGTCACGCACCCAGGGACAGTGAATGACCGCTCGTGCCCACTTACTCTGATGTAAGGACACCTTTCCGTCGACACCCCATCCAACATCCAAGCCTGGCACCAAGTTCAGGAGACCGCCCCCCGCCAGACCTCCGGCATCCTGGCTGCTTCAACTCCTCCTCCTCCTCCTCCTCCTCCTCCTCCTCGTCCTCC